AGCGTAGCACCTGCGTACGCAAATGTTGATGAATTCCAGTGTAAATCCACTACGCCATCGTAGCTGCTGGCTGTTGAGGAGCGTGCCTAGCATAAACTATGCAATCACACTGGGCGACACATACCATAGGAACCAAACTGACGCCTCTCTTGTATGTAAACCATATGGCTCTAGCTGTCTACAGGAGTGCTGGGGGATGTGATAGTTGTCCTCATTTTCGTTTGTATGATTGTGTTCAACACTCGATGAAAGCAGCGACACGTGCGCGTGCGTGCGTGCGTGTGCACGTACACGTGCGTGCTTGCGTACGTACACGGGCGTGCGTGCGTGCGTGTGCACGTACAAGTGCGCACGGCATGTGCACGTACACGGCTAACTACGAACTCGCTTATAACGAAAACAATGCCAAGCTATGACAAAAAAAATTATTTTTAGTTGAGTAGTAATTTTATAATGTTTTCTCAATAGAATAATGCATGCTGCGGTATGCTGGAAACACCTGCGGAAATTTCGAGTCGTTTACGGCACCTCGTCAGCTCGTGTAAAGTTGCGCAAAGGTTTACGTAAATTTTAGCTTGATGAATCGCACATAAAACGGCCTCGCCTGCGTACGCGAAATCGTACGAAAATTTACTAAATAGCTGTGTTGATGAATCGCAACTAAGCAACGTCGATTGCGTACACAAGATTTACGAAAAATATTTTGCGTACGCAGCTTGATGAATCATGAATCTACCCCCTGGACCCCACCCGTCAGTGCAAGCGCACACGGTATCAGAGTCTACAGTTCTCAGGGGCGTGTACAGGGGGGGTCCAGGGGGTCCGAACCCCCCCCCCTGCTCGCGCAGAAAACGCATCTGAGGGGATCTAATTTCAAAAATTTTCTGGGGGAGAGCCCCCCAGACCCCCTCTTCGCGTCCTCCTGTACACGCCCCTGGTTTCGCCCCCCTAAGAAAATGGCGCCGCCCCTGGGTACAGGGAATTACAGTGTTTCCTCTTATAATACGTACAGCACGTTACATCACAGTATTACTTACTATAGTTCTAACTCCCAGATCGAACTCTAAATCCAACTTCTAAATCGAGCTTCAGACTCTTCTAAATCTCCCGTTTCTAGCTTTCTTCTAAGTCCCACTTGCAAGTCTTTAAACCTGCTGTCTCCCAATCTCCTAATCTCCAAATCTCCAAATCACCAAATCACCAAATCAGAAACTAGAACTAGAAAATCAATACTATGACAACGGCTTGATCATTTTTTGATTATTTTGTGTCTTGGTAAATTTAGACATATAGTTAGGGCTTATGCAAGGATTGGTCTGAAGATATGACTCACCGATGCTTCAAATTTTGATGCCTTTTGCAAAACCTTACATTAAAATTTTGAGGTGATATTTATTTTGAAAGATGATTTGTTTGTGTTTGTTTCTTTGTAATCTTGATCTGGAAAGGGTTGGGTCACTGGTGGGCCTTCCCAGGCAGCCTCCCTCGGGCCTTCCCAGGCAGCCTCCCTCGGGCCTTCCCAGGTAGCCTCCCCCGGGCCTTCCCAGGCAGCCTCTCTCATACATCTCATACATAATACTCACAATTGCATTGCAACAGCTTCATTAATCTATCATCATTATTATCATTATTATTTATCAGTATTTATTCATGCGATTGAAATCTGCGTAGATCTGTTTTATTAGTTCAATAATTGCTCGTACGAACAGTCGACGCCACGCTGTTGCCATGGCGGACCACAGATAGTGTTTTGTAATATATGGTGTCTATATAAGACGGAGGAGCAGGATTATAGTTAGTGTTAGGGTTAGGGTTCGGGTTAGGTTTAGGGTTAGGGTTAGGGTGTATAAATTTTACATTGTTGCTTCGAGGAAGTCGAGTGAAATGGAGTGCGCTGATTGGCTGGGGTCCGGAACTCTCGTGGGAAAAAAAATTTCGCTGGCGGGAATGTCTGAAAAGCGGAGAACACGCGCGTTGTGTAAAGGCCGTCGCACACGCTGTGGAACGCTCTGCGCCATCGTCCACAGCGCGTTTCAGAGCGTGTGCGCATGCAAAATGCATCGATCTGTGGCGTGTGGAAAATATCACACGTGTTTGATAATTTCTTCCACGTGTGGAAGATTGAACAGCGTCTGCGGAGTGGCTGTGTAAAGTTCCACACCGTCTCTACACTTGAACGTGTTTTAACGTTGACATTTCGACGTTGTTTTTACGTTGCTCTCTCTCTCTCTCTCTCTCTCTCTCTCTCTCTCTGGTGTGTGTGATGTGCGTGTCGTGTGGTGTGTAGTCGTTTGTGTGTGGTTGTGGTTTTGTGTGTGTGTGTGCTGTGTGTGTCGCCTGTGTGTATGTGTGTGTGCTTGTGTTTGTGTGTGTGTGCGTGTCGTTGCCTTGCGTGCGTGCGTGCGTGCACTGTCGCGCGCGTGTTGTAGTGGTTTGGATTTGGGGGTGGGGGTGGCTAGCCAACCCCCTACTGTTTTGGACTAACCAATATTTTTACATGTACCAAAATTACTGCCAAGTACAATAGTAGCGCGGCTATGGTGCCAACGATAAAAATATTATTTAGCCCACATTATTTAGCGTATAAAGTCATTATTCATTCATCGATCGCCCGACCTCTCAGCCTTGACTTGCGTGCGGTATTCGCCCGGCTATCAGTGATGTAGTGGAGGGTATACTTATGTATACGTCGTATACTTGAAAAAATTAGGACTATTTTTGTGTATTACGCACGTTATAACTAAAAAAAAAAATTTAATTAGCTATAAAATACACAAGAAATTAAAAATAAATTGTAGGACTCTATTAGATCTGACGAACTTATGAAAATCGGCGACATTCATACGCTTTGCGCGTGCGTGTTCCATAGAATTAATTTTGTGTGGCCTATCATATAGCCGGACTAACTTTTGACAAATCAAACGTACGTATTATCAGGAGCTATAATGTCAAATTATTGTCATTATTATTATTTGAAATTATTATCATTGTTATCATTTAATTATTTAATTATCATTATTGAATTTTTTATTTTTTATTGAATTGATTAATTATCATTATTGAAATTATTATTTGTCATTATTAGCTCCTGGTATTATCGACATTGATGATTGCGCATCCGCCTCCAAGGGCCGGCGGGGCGGCACGTTGGCGCGCGGCCCCTAGGCTATGCCAGTGTAGCGGTTTTGCTCCTGTGCGACTGAACGGGGTGCCGCGTGGACGGTATGTTTGACCGTATTGCGTCAGTTGTTCTACGGGTCATTAAAAAAAGGTGTCACTGCCGAGTGTAAAACCAGCCTACAAATTAGATCGATATATTAACTCTCTATATTACTCTCTATATTAGTGCAAGCGTGCAACAGTCGCGCCGCACCGAGGAGCAATTGGCAGCGGTAATGCAATGGTTGGAAAACTAATCGGCAGGTGTTAGCGTAGGTGAAAGAGAGGTAGGCCTGTGGCTATAGTCTATAGGAAACATTAAGAATGTCTGTACTAAGTAAGTAGATTTCGTAGTTTAGTTAGCATCTATATTTTATCTAAAACGCTTCAAGTTGCGTGTGCATAACAGCGCTGCACTAGAAGCCACTGCTTTAAACTAAAACAAATTAAACAAAACAAATCAAACGTACGTATTATCAGGAGCTAATAATGATAAATTATTGTCATTATTTATTATTCTGAATTATTATCATTTATTATCATAATTATTTAATTAGTCATTGATTGAATTTTTTCATTTGTTTATTGCAATTTGACTTAATTATCCATCGTATTGAAATTCACTTACTTTGTCCATATCTAGCTCTGGTATTTATCGACACTGGATGGATTGCGCATCCGCCTCCACACGGGCCGGGCGGGCGGCGCACGTGCCGCGCGCGCGCGCCCAGGCTATGCCAGTGTAGCGGTTCTTGCTCTGTGCGACTCGAACCGTAACTGCTTGTATGTTTTACCCGATATCTCGTGCCAGTTTGTGTCTAGGTATAAAAGGTGTCCACTGCCGCGTGTAAAACCAGCTGACAATTAGATCGATATAGCTATCGTTTAACCGGTGTGCCTGTTCGGTTGTCGATGCGTAGATACATAGGATAGAGAGTATAACAATCGAGTTATAATTAGGTAACCGACAACTGATAAATCATTTATAATACGGTTATAAAAACAGGGTACAGGCAGGGCCACCGGCGCCACAGGGGGCAGCAGGCAGATGGGGGGCGGTTCCGCCCCCCTATCATTTGCAAGAAAAGGAAAGAAGGAAGAAGAAAAGGGAAAAAGAAAAGAAAAAAAAAAAGGAGGAAAAAAAGAAGACAGAAAAATCGAAACAAGAAAACATATGGCAAACTGTCTTGCACACATGCCAGTGGGTGGG